GATTGTTGCCTGCCGAAGTGTACCGCTGACATTGATAAACAATCAACACAGAGCACATAGGGCACGTGATAAATTGATAGAGCAATGATATTGTTTTATTTTATTTTCCATGCATTCCCATTGGTTAATTACACTTTTCCTTAACTTTTTAAATGTTTTGCTGTATTAGATTTGTTCTTTAAGAATCAGTTATTATTATTCACCTTCTAGTGCACGTTTGTTTACATTCTTTCATCACGGTTTTCCCCCTCGTACTCACGCTGTGCGATGGTCGAAGTTGTATCGAAAGGTCTCGTAGTTAATGTCACTGCATACGGTAAAATGGCTAATAAAAGAGGGACGAAAGATACCAGAGGGACAGTCAAACTCATAGATCGAAAACAAACTGACAACGCCATGGCCAAAAATAAAAAGACAAACAGACAAATAATAGTACAGATGACACAACATAGAAAACTAAAGACTAAGCAACACGAACCCCAACAAAAACTGGGGGTGATCTCAGGTGCTCCGGAAGGGTAAGCAGATCCTGCTCCACATGTGGCACCCGTCGTGTTGCTTATGTTATTACAAATCCGGTAAATAGTCTAATAAGAGTACGGCAAGACAACAATTAAATAGAAGTACATTTATGAAGATTTTAATAATATTAAGGATTTTCTTTTACAAGAAAGTTCAAGTATACTTGTTAACTAGTTTAATTTAGACATTCAAGTATGTAAAATATATTCAACTTTTGTTTTAATTTGAATTTTCATATGACTTTAAAGTCGACTCATACGAACATATTAGAAAAATTACAATACAAGAACTTTGGAAAGTTGCTGAATAAAGGTCAACAAATCTAACTTAGTTTGGCGTATAGTACGAAACTTTTGAAATTAGAAATGTCGCATATATGTAATTCTATTTTTCCTTAATGCAAATTTTACCGAGCATTCGAACAAATCCAATTTTACTGTTTGATTGCATAAAATGTCAGTTTTTTAATCTTTCAGCTGACTGTTTAATTGCATAAATCGTCTTTTTTAATAATTCTTTGAAAATCATTAAGTTGTTAGAACTTTCCTCAGAAATAATGTTAAACTATTTTTTTCATAAAGACAAGCAATGTAACCTATGTTTTATATGATTTTGTTTCCGAAATCAATCTATGATAATTATATGACAATAGAATGGGAAACTGTATCAACTCTCCGACTTATGAATAATTAATAAAGTATTACAAACTGTTGCTTATATTTCAGCTTTCTTTTTGTTGCACGAAAAATGAAACCTCAAAATAATATAGTTAATTACCGTAAAAAATTTTGTAATTGATATATGTTTGCAGAATGCGCCTTTGAAATTCATCATATGTAAAGACTATCATGTTAATATCTAATCGTATAGTACATTCATGCACACAATGTTCTCGAAATTCATAAAATATTTAATCGTATTGTACAGAGGTGACGAGAGGCCATTTGCAAAGATCGTACGATTTTATTTAAAGTGATTTAGATTTCTTTCAGGAAACGTGTTTAAAATTTCTTTTACGTTCTAAGTATAAAATTGTATTCTTAAGTTTACATTATCTTATTTTACAACTTTAAACGCAATAACAGAAAGTGTGTCACTGAGGATTGGTATACATGAACTTTAATAGGGAATTTTCGTTTTTGGAATTCCCCTGTTAATCAATTACGCATCTCAATTTCTATAGGGATAGGACTGGGTAGCACCAGCTATTTCGTATATATATATATATAAAACATGGAATGGGTGCATGGGGCGAGGGGTCATACATGATATGTCATAATCCTATTGAAAATCACAGGGGCATGTTATGTTTAGGGTACACCGACAGTGACCATTATTGGGGCTACATCCTTAAAACCAGTCGAAAACACTGGTTGTGTGTTTTTGCACATGTTCTCCATAGGATTAGGCATGATTATTCAAATGCGTAGTAGAAAGATATCTTAAAGTAAATCTGAAAAGGAATGGTAATATTTACAGCATGAATGTAAATTAATGTTTAAAATGTATGAAATTGTCGAAAATGGCTGGAGGATTTTGAAAATGAATAACTTGGCCTAGGAAGAACTGAAAATAAATGACTTTGCATAAGTCAAAATGAAAAATATTCTGCAACATGAAATGCAGGATAGTTGAGGATACAAAAGCCCGCGGAAAAAAATAAGAATGCGTAGCAACAAATGAAAATATATGATAAATCCGGAAAAACACTACTGTAACAATTAAAGTCCGCTCAAAAATGACTGATTCAAAGTTCGATGCCTTCTACTTTAAACAGACTTTAGGTCACTATATAAGTACTATTGTTTTTATTTTATCTTTTTTTTTTCTTTTGGTAATGAAGCTAATCGGTTAGCAGTAGCTTGTACTCGGGTGGTTATTTAAATCATATCTAGATGATATAAGTGGCGGATCTAGGAGGGCGTACTGCCACCCCTTTCATCTGAAAAAATATAATGTTTTGGCATAAAATCGTCAAAAGAATTGGGAGAACTACGCTAAAATCCTGGATATTGCCGTGCGGATTTGAAGTCCCAAAACATGCAGTTAAGTACAATCTGCCGCTTATCACTGACACATAAAATATTCATTATTCTATTTATCATTCTGATAGTTCAATTTTCCTTGACATTCGTCGATTGTATATAAATTATGTAGTCAATCTCCAAACTCCTAAGCACATTGAGAAAAACCATTCAAAGTGCATTTCTGATCATTAGATACTCGTTCAGATTTTCATCTCTTAACTTTTATAATAAAAAAAATATGCTTGGTAAATCCCTTAGGCAAAGTTGATCTCATATGAATTTGGCTATCATTTTTAGGTTCATTTTGGTTATTTAGCTGCTAACGTTTCTACGTATTTATACATCCCTGGCTTTCATTTTTTAGGTTTGACCGTATCTCTTGCTGATGGTACTTAGGATGCACATATTGTTTTAGTGCTATTTTCATGGGTAGAGTTAACTTGTCCAATTTTCTTTCTGACAGATACAACCGTTCAATCATGTGCCTCAGTGGGCTCGTGGAAACGTACTCGCCTCGAGTGCTTAAGGTCATGGATCCAAAGACCAAAGCTGCCTCTGCTCTAAGAACGCAGCCTTTAGGAGTAAGAGCAAAGACTGGTCGTCCTGGAGTCAGAATAATGTATCTGGGTAGGGTGACATGTATTCCTGCGGAATGTAACCTTGTAAACTATCACGTTAAAATCTGCCAGTTTTGTACAAGCAGGATTTATATTCATATAAAACTAGTATTTGCTCGTTCTGACTATGCAACTGGACGTCAAACAGCCATCCATCCATCAATCAAGTTCCAATCAAACTTATAATGTCTTTATAAACCTCTGGTCAATAGATGTGGTATGAGTGCCAATGAAACCTATCAACCTTGAAAAAATCAGCAGCAATAACTTTTAAAAAAAAACAGTTTGCTGAGGCACAATACCGAATTGCCGTAGATAGGAAAGTCAATATCTACTGTTCATACAAATATTGGGCGAGTCTTCCAAGGAACTGCATTAGATATGAAAGTCAAGAACTACTTATGATTTTAAAAAGTGTTAGTCTTCCAAGGAACAGCAATATATAGAAAAGTCAAGATCTAATGTTAACATAAAAATGTGTGATTCTTCATAGGCAGATGTGTGTCGCTTGCAATCTCCAAATAATGTTAACAGAAATGGCCAAAACAATGTTTTGAAATGGAAAACTTGAAAAATCACATATAACAGCAGATTCACAACTTTATGCCCTGTAGAACATTCATTTGCCTCTTTAAATGGTCGAATTCTTTCAAACCGTTTTCGATGAGTTTTGGATTCACAAAACGTTTAACTAAGACGACAGAGGTGATCATTTTGCGAGGCGACACAAATATAATGAGATGTGGAATGATTGCAAATAAGACAAGTTTCGCTAAAGACCAGAGGACAATGATGTAAACAACTATAATATAAAAATAAAAAGATGTGGTATGATTTCCAATGAGATAACTATCCACCGGAATTAAAATGAAGTGGTAGTAAGCAATTATATGTCACCGTAAAGCCTTCAACAATGAGATAAACCCATAACGTATAGTCGGCTGTAAAAGACGCCGACAAGAATATCTTTATAGTACGCTAAAAAAAAGGCCGAGAGATAACAAAATGTGAAACGATTCAAAACAGACAACTAACAGCCTGACTAAAGCTTATACTATAGAGTAGCATACGACAACAACAAAAGCACGTGCTTTAGTATTATAACAGACCGCCACTGGACAACCGGCTCCTGGCATGGGACAAGCACATAAAACATATCGCGGGATTGAACATGCGTGTTGATTCTAAACCTGCCTCTGGACTCGATACAATGTTGATACATCACAATATTAGAACGTTGTAAAAAACCATGAAAATGAATTGAATCATGAGAAAAACAATGAAAATAACACTTTCTAAATTTGGTGCGCCAGCGCTCTTCTGTATAAATTTTCAACCATTCATTTTAGAGCAAAGGATTAATAGTTGTCAAAGGTACCAGACTTATAATTTAAAATACGCCAGACGCTCGTTTCGTCTACATAAGACTCATCAGTGACGCTCAGATCAAAATAGTTAGAAAGCCAAAAAAGATTAGCCGGTCAACCTTGCCTGAAAATTGAAATAATGGACGTTTAGAAAACAAAATTCATACTTGCAACGTCATGCAATAAAAATTTTCAGTGTTTGAATTCATTGGTTTCATAACGTTGACCAAAGAAATTTAACCTTACCTATACTATTGGATTTACTGAAGAATGACCCTTATTGTTGCAATGACATAAATAACTTGTGTACGAACTGATGATTTAAGATATGAACTGAAGCTGTATTTTTTTAATACCTCAATTTTAAGATTGTTACTTGTCTTGTCATAGAAAAATATTTTGAACGTGAATATAATGACGTGAAAATTTATTCAAAAATTGGGTTGAAACTTATGTCCCTAGAGAATGTCTTGAATGTTATTTATTTAACGTCAAGTGGCAAATATTTCATACATGTTCAGGACAAAAAATAATTAACAGTACATACATTAGGTAGGCTCTGTAAAAGAGGTCGACCGAATTTCTTGAAATTTGGCCTGGCACTGGACAATGAGGATATTTAAAATTGGATAGGGACAGAAATTTAGTCTTGCAACAGGCCACCCATGAACCCCTCAAAGAGATGTTGCAGTGTTTCTTAACGTGCAGAGAGCGTGTCACTCTCTTCACGAGGCATCTATGTTCACGTCCTTGTTCTGACTGGACGTAGCTGCGAACTTGTACATCCCGCACAGTAAAACGGACGCCTTACTTAGGCAAGAGTTTTGATGCTGATCAGAAGAAGACCAATAGTGGAATGACCCGATGATAGCCCAACTCAAGAAGTATACCCAAGTATCTCCTTTTATTCAGGATATTGTGTGTCGGAAAATTCATAAAAAAAACTTTTATAATACGGAAACATGAAAGAAATAAGGAAAAAACTATTTGGAAACATATGGACAAATGTTAAATGCTTAGACGAGATAGAAATATGGGAAACAATATGATATAATCAAGTTATATATTATTTTAATTCATTCTGTTACTAGTCTCGAGACAGAAAATGATTTAATGTAATGTCAAGAAAAAGTATTGAACAACTGAACATATCGATTCTTTTGATATCCAAAAGCAACCTGATACGTTACGACTAAATAACATCCTAGTATATATACCCGAGTACTATTACCGTTTCTATTCTTTGTACATACAACATAAACATGTATTCCTCATTCATTAAATAGCTAGACATTAGAAGCAAGTCACCCATGACTTTAAAGTTTGCCCCTATTTACTTATAAGTACCCAGTTAAAAACAGGTGAAGGTGTGTTTACATGATTTAAAAAAAAAGTCTATTTCGCAATTTGGATGCAAAATCCAATTATAGATATTACGCAGGATAAAAAAAAGGATTATGCATTAAATAGTGATAATTTGTGTACGACTTAACTTATTTTGTTGAAAATGGATAGACGACAGCGGTATGAGGTAAGTTGTACCATTCCTTCCTGGGTTTTAGTCTGAGATATGAATTCTTTATTTTTTGTTCTTTGTCCGTCTTCAATTAAATCAGATATGATTTTTTTTTTAAATGGAGCTTGCTTTAAAAATAAAAAAGAACAAACCAAACACAAATAAATAAAAGAATAGAGCAGAATGAAGTGTTGGTCTTTATTTTTAAACATTCAGTGCATAATGGATTCACAACGAATCCTCAATTATACTTTTTACCTCACGGACTCGTCATATTTTTATCTCGATATTAGCCTTGTTAATAAAACCGGCTGAATGCTGACACGATTGGTTTATTAACTTTTCTAAAGGTTGTAATAAAATGTAATTGTTGATTTAATTGTTCACAGTTTGGTCGTTTATGACCTACAATGAAGACAGTACGTACATGTGAAGGGAATAATTAATAATTATAATGTAGAAAAAACATGGCTTCTCAAATAAATGCACATAGCAATATGTTAATTAATCGTGATTTGGACAAGCTATTGCATAAGCTTAAATATATCCCTTTTTTTTTCATTTTAGTGCTTGTAAGGTGTCTTTTTGTTAGATACTATACGGTCATCTTTCTAAAATATATATATATACTACTCAAAGAAAAGGTTGCAACACTTCCATTGAAATTAATGGGGGTCAAACTTTGTTGGCTCATATATTTGTAGAAAATGCTCAAAATGATCGGAAATTAGTAGCATTCTTGTTTTGAAGGATGTTGAATAGGTAATTTTTGCGCGTTGTATGCATTTTTTTTAACTTAACCATGCATGTGCAAAACAATGTTAAAATTATGACTTTCTATTTTGACCACTTGCCTCAAAGTTTGCGAACAGTGTAGCTGTCTGAAATTTGGCCAACATTTAGTAGTACTTTTGAATACAAAAATGACTGAAGATTAAGAAAACCGAAACTTGAAAGATAAATTGATATTTTGGTTTATTTTATTTTCTGTCAGATGATGTTTTGCTAATCTTTTTTGAGTAGTATACAATTGTGTATTTATGTTTGTGATCATGGTGATACGGACTTTTCTACGGTATCGGATGACTTTTAGCTCCTGTTGTAATTCAGAGAGAAAGTACTAGTTAATATATAGCTGTTTAGTCATTGCAATCAGTAAGGAAAGTGTTGAACAAATATAATAAATTCAAAGTGCCAAAACATTTTTTTCTGGAAAGATTTTTTTAATACAGAAACATGACCATATGAATGTTGATTTCAGTGATCAATTCTTTTTTACTTTTCTTCTCTTTTTTTCCTTCTTTTATATTGTGTGTATTTCCATTTATTTATTATACATATATCTATATGACAAAATAAATATACATATTATTAAAATAATTAATAAATTGTGCCGTAATATGTGTACCGAATCGAAATTAAAAAGTAAATAAAAAAATTCCCGAAAAATTGGCATTTGGGGAATTCTCCAAATAAGATTTCTTCAAATTTCTATCCATAGAGCTCGTTTCATAATAATGGTTATTTAAAAACAACATGAATATTACGAAATAAGATTTAAAAAGGGATATTTTAATTAATTACAATACCCCCAACTATGTATATTAACCTTTGTTAATACTTTAAGAATAGTTTTTACCTTTGTACATGTATATGATTATATGGAAAAAAAAGTATAGCGTAAAAATGTAGCGAAATATAAAAACGTTAAGAAATGTAAATTGGTTGAGTAAAGAAGGTTGTGTGTACATGACATAAAATGATCGATAATAATTTAATGTTACAGTTAAATATTTTCTTTACCGCTGTATTAAATTTCTTAAAACGGAATGTGATCCATTTCAACCCCCAAAAAAACAAGAAAAAATCGATGTGAACTTTGTAAATTTATCTTGATTTTCAGCATGAATTATTTACACAGTAATTGTGCCGAAACATTCAGTTAATCTGTATAATTTGTATTCACCAGAATATTTACATTTAAATCTTTAATGGCCTGTATCTTATTTTCATAGTCTACTGAAACCTATTAAGGTTTAGAATACACAAAAGACTTTTCTTCGGAGTTAACTGTATAGTTTTACTTTACAAAACACCTATGTAATAAACATGTGTGTATTGTGTTGCAACATAATATATGCCACAGAACGTGACGAACAGTTAGCTTGCAATATTTTATGTTATTATACCTCAGTGTGTATTTTCTTTATTAAGTTATAGACGAGTAAATGTACCTTTTTACGAAATTGTCTGAAATAAAGACTATTTACCGGTTAATAGTTTAAAAAACTGGGTATGAAGCGAACATTTTCCCGTAAAAATACAATTTACTGGAAGCAAACATTTTCCCACACTTTCTGTGTTACGAAACACTTATTTTACTTAATATTCGGACAAAAGTAAGTGTATTGTATACCCTCTGTAATATTACACTAGTGCAAAGATACCTTCAAATTATTCACTAGTATTCATGCAATAACCCTATAGCTTGCTGAATATATATAATATTTAATTGTGTGTGTATTATATTAAATATGTTTCATTATTGCACGCATCAATCCTTCAGGGTATAAATAGTAATCTTTATTGCAAAATTACACCCATAAGGGTAAAGCTATACAAACAAACAATTCATGATACATTTTAAATTCAATGCAATACAATGTAATACAATACAATATAATAGAACATATTTTAAGAGTTCAATTTTAAATTTATGTAAAAAACACAATCATAAGCTTGTCTGACATGGGTCTGACCCCCTCAGTTCTAAAGACTGCTTAATAAAGACTCCAATATGACAAACAAGTTCAGGGATGGGGTTTGGAATCTGTTTTAGTTTATTAAATGCATCAAGATGTTGAAATAATGGTACATAGTCTTTTAGATAAGCAAAAAAAATAAATTAGAACGCAATGATATGTTAATGTGACAATACAAAAAGAAATGAAATTCGTCATCTAGGACTCCACATTTTTTACATAATCTTTGTGCTCTTGGAATGTTTCTGTACCTTCCCAATTCAATGCCTAGGGAATGATCACTGAGTCTAAATTTTGAGAGAAACTGCCTATGTATAAAATTATAAATGTGCATAAATGAAAATAAATTCCTTACAAGTTAAAAATGTAAGCACCGGAAATTATTTTACTGAAACAATTCAAGGTTGTGTTTAATAAAGATTGTTGTGATCATATCAAATTTGTAAAAATATTTATTCATAGTTTTTTTACCTTTATGCTGTATACAGTAAGATATATTTTTCAGCACCAGAGATCATTCCCGGTTTTTGTGGCGTTCGTGTTGTTCAGTCTTTAGTTTTATATGGTGTGTTTTGTATACTGTTGATTTTCGTTTTTTGCCATGGCATTGTCAGTTTGTTTTCGACTTAGGAGTTTTAATGTCCCTGTGTTATCTTTCGCCTCTCTATAATGGGATTTTTTTCTTTAAATAAGGTCCCTTTTGGGTCGTATAGCTTCACGTTATATATCCATGGCTTTCAAATACTTTGGCTTTGCGCGGTCTTGATGCGGGTAGATAAAAAAACAAAACCTTCGGAAGCATTAAAATTAAAGTTATTTTCATTGTTTAACTCTCGTGTAAATCGGCTGATTGAATAGGATTTTATCACCAGTCTAAACGCACACAGACAATATGTCCGACGTCCAAGAACATAAAGGTCAATTGACAGAACAATCTGCAATGAATGCTTATCTGATTAACTTCGTCCAAAATTTATGAAAATTATGGGAGTAAATCTATAAATTTATAATTTATTGTTTGATAGTTGAGATCGGAGCAACTTCGTGCCTAAAAAAGTCTGGACCTTTCTTGTTAAGAATTATGAAATCGTCTCATTTTTTCTCATCGTATCCAACATCGCACAAATTTTTTTAAATGTTTTAAAAACTAACCCCCGCCATAGAGTACTTGAACAATGTATTTGACCACTCATATTTGTTGAAGCATTGTAAACTCTACTATGAGACCATATGTCCGAGAGCTACCCTCATTTTTCAGTTGATTCTGAAATTCCCGCCATAAATTGTTGATTTGATCTCATCTTGAATATGCATTAAATATCTGCTACTGGACGTAAAGCAAACAACAATCAATCAATCGAGTAGCCGTCGAATTTCCCGCTTTTTATCCTTTTTTACCCACTTGAAGCCCCTTCCTGTTGGATATATTAACTTTTCTCGTTCTGAATATGCATGTAGTATTTGCCTCTGGGTGTTAAGCAAACAGCATACCGAAATCTGAAAGCTTTTATTCTTTGTAGGATTGCTAGTTATCATGTTTGTAAGCGATATAGTAGTTTGAATTTTTATACGTATACGGCGTAGCAATCTTTTTTTTAAATGTTTCTGTTTGGGGAAAGACAATTGAAAACAGAAAGGATTTGATCCAGTGCTTCAAAATGCATAACTTATTATGAATTTCAAATCAATCAGGCAGATAATTTGAAATAGTTACTTAGTTATGGAGAATATTATTAATTGTGTGAAGGGGCATTAGCTGTCAAATTCATGTTCACCGATTTGACTCAAATTCCCATATTTGATTTATTACATATCAAAACATATACCCAAATTACTAAAAGTCTAAAATAAACAATTAACAATGCATGGACTCGATTATATGTATCAACATTTCGTGTGTATTTTTGTGTAGACGTTATCTAATTAACCATCGAGATGACCTCCGAAGACTGCCGACGGTCATATAACCCGATATAAACATAAATATAAATATAAACAGATAGCGACCACGTGCAATGGGATTTTTCTAGGTCTGTTTGATTTCATATTGTATGTTAAAAAGTAAGTTTATCATCGTTTTTAACTGTATAAGAATGATTTTTTTTTTTGTGGATTGAATAGGTCAACCAAATGATTCATCCTTGTTTCACTTTCAATATTGAAATTCTTTTCCTTTTAATAGCTGAATACATGCGTAACCCATCTCCAGCTAAGGGGTTAAATCGAAGGTCACATGACTACGAATTCAATGAG